CAGTAGCAGGAAGAACTTCAAGTCCTGTGATTAGGCAGCTTCTTTCCAAGGAGAAGGGAGTCCCAGCCCAAACTGCCGTCATTTCTAACCTAAATTCCCCCTCGTAATCTCCTAACTGGTTGTCCTCCACCCTTCCACCCTTTCCCCCCCACCCCTTGCGTCTTCTCAACACAGCAGCCAAAGTGATCCTGTTGAAATATAAACTAGGCTAGGGGCGCCTGGGGGGCTCAGTCGGTTAAGCGTCCAACTCTTGGTTTCGGCTCAGGTCATGCTCTCACGGTTCATGGGATCAGGCCCCGCATCGGGCTCTGCATTGACGGTGAGCCTACTTGGGATTCTCTCCCCCTCTCTCTGCCCCTCCCCCCCAAAGCAAGTAAACATCTTATGTCACTCTTCTATTGAGAACTCCCCAGTTACTCTCATTCTCCCTCAGTAAAAGCCAAAATGCTTACAGTGGCCTACTGGCCTCACGTGGTCCACTCACCAGTTACTTCTCTGATGTCCTGTCCTGTTACTCGCTCCTTTGTTCATTCCGTTCTCACCACATTGGCTTCCTTTTTTGTCTCTCTAACACCCTAGGCATGCTCGTGCCCCAGGGCCTTTGCAGATAGCTGTACAACTCACTTCCTTCCAATCTTTCCTCAAAGGTCTTCTTGCTGAGTCTCCCCTGACCGCCCAAGTAAGACTTCAACACCCTCTAGGCTCTCCCTGTATCTTTTCCCTGCCTTTATTTTCTTCAGAGCGTTCAGTGCCTTTTAGTATTTGGTAAAATTATTTATTTTCTTTGTCTATTCCTCTCCCGCCACTAGAATTTCAGCTCTGTGGGAACAGGGACTCTTGTCTGTTTGTTCACTGCTGGACCTTCAGTGCCTGGCACATAGTAGGTAGCAAATAAACATTTGAATAAATGAAAAGTCTTCAGAGGGGATAAGGAGAGCTAATGGCAGTACAGAAATATTGCTAAGGAGTATGGGGCGTGAAAGATGATTTTAATGCTAGGGAAAGTATTATTTTTTTAAATTTTTATTATTTTTTGAGAGAGAGAGAGAGAGACAGAGCATGAGCTGGGGAGGGACAGAGAGAGAGGGAGACACAGAATGCAAAGCAGGCTCCAGGCTCTGAGCTGTCAGCACAGAGCCTGACTGGGGCTCGAACCCAAGAACCTGAGCCGAAGTCGGATGTTTAACCGACTGAGCCACCCAGGCGCCCCAGAAAACTGTTAATTAAGGACCTTGTAAGTCATTCTAAGGAGCTTGGATTTCCCGGGAATCCCAGGCTCCTGACTTAGGGCAGCACGTTGAATGGTGGTACTATTTACTGAGATAAGAAATACAGAGGAGGCCAGGTGCCTCTGACTGCCAGCTCAGAGCCTGGAGCCTGTTTCAGAGTCTGTGACTCCCTCTCTCTCTGACCCTCCCCTGCTCATGCTGTCTCTCTCTCTCTCCTAGGAAAAGAAAAAAAGAACAAGGAAGCCCTTATGGGTGGATCAGAGAGAGATAGAATGACAGGGGATTAGGTTGGAGAGATGGTTGCCTTTGGATGGCAGTAAGGCATGGAAAGTTTGACGGGTTTTACTTTTCANGCCTGTTTCAGAGTCTGTGACTCCCTCTCTCTCTGACCCTCCCCTGCTCATGCTGTCTCTCTCTCTCTCCTAGAAATAAGTAAAACATTAAAAAAATTTTTTTAAAAAGAAAAATACAGAAGAAAGAATTAATTTCATGGGGCACCCAGGTGGCTCAGTCAGTTAAGCATCCAACTCTTGACTTTGGCTCAGGTCATGATCTCACGGTTTGTGAAAACCAAGCCCTGCGTTGGGCTCTGCCCTGACAGTGTGCAGAGCCTGCTTAGAATTTTCTCTCACCCTCTCTCTCAGACCCTCCCCCCCTTTCTCTCTCTCTGTCTCTCCTTCAAAATAAATAAATAAACTTAAAAAAGAAAGAATACATTTGATGTGATCAAGGGGAAAGGCAATAATGGGTTCTAGGCACGTCAAGTTTTGAGAACCTGTGTGCTACCCAGGTGGACGTGTTCAGGAGGCAGCTGAGCGCTTGGTTTGGTAGCTCAGGGTAGGAGGTCCGGGCCAAAGAGAAAGATTTGGAAGTCATCTGCCTGTAGACGGTGTTTAAAGCCATGGCTATGATAGAATTTCCTAGAGAAGTTGTATACATTGAGGAGGGCAAAAAGTTACTGGTTACTAATGCCAAATACTGCTCCAAAATCCGATAAGAAAATATCGAGGCCACCTGGGTGGCTCAGTCAGTTAAGTGTTTGGCACTTGGCTTCAGCTCAGGTCATGACTTCATGGTTCATGAGGGCCACGCTCCGAGGAGCCTGCTGAGGATTCTCTCTGCCCTTCCCCCGCTCTGTGCCCACCCCCCAACTCTCTGTCTCTCTCTCTCAAAATAAATAAACTTTAAAAGTTATTTTTTAAAAAAAGAAACCCTACTGAATTTGACAGGGGGCCCTAAGTGAATATATGTCATTTATTCAAATATTTCTTGAACATTTGCTATGTGTCGAGGATACAGAAGATACGATAGTGAATCAGACAAAAATCCCCTTTCCCACAGAGCTAAAATTCTACTTGAGAGGAACAGACAAATAAGACAGGAAATAAGGGGCTCCTGGGCAGCTCAGTTGGTTAAGCGTCCCACTCTAGATTTTTGGCTCAGGTCATATCACGATTCATGATATCACGGTCATGGGTTCGAGCCCCACATCAGGCTTCGCACTGCTGGTGCAGAGCCTGCTGGGACATCTCCCTCCTTCTGTCTGCCTCTCTCTCTGGCTCTCGCTTTCTCTTATACAAAATAAATAACCTTTTTTAAAAAAGTACAAATGAAAAGGGAAAGGGATGTCCAGTAACAGATGAGTGGGGCCGCACAATGGAACACGACTCAGCAATAAAGAGAAGAAACTCCTGATGAACACGACAATAGGGATGGATCTCAGAAGCATCGTGCTGAGTGAGAGAAGCCCGTCTCGCAAGGCTACAGGCTGTACGCGTCCATTTATATGACATGCTCAAAGGGCAAAACTAGAGGGACCGAGAAAAGATCCTTGGCTGTCCAGGGCTGGGAGGCACAAGAGAATCGCGGGGGCCGAGGGGACAGTTCTGTGTCCTGACGATGGTGGTCACACAAAGCTCTACGGAGGAAGGAGTTGTTTTTTCTTGAGAACATTTTTTTCTTTTTTTAATGTTTATTTATTTATTTTTGACAGGGAGAGAGAGAGCACATGAACAAGGAAGGGGCAGAGAGAGAGGGAGAGAGAGAACCCAAAGCAGGCTCTGCACTGTCAGCGCAGAGCCCGACGCGGGGCTCAAACCCGTGAACTGCGAGATCATGACCTGAGCCGAAGTTGGACGCTTAACCGACTGAGTCCCCCAGGCGCCCCAAAGCGTACTTTCTATGTAATAGTGAGAGCAACGCTAGCCCGTATTTCTTGATCCTTACCATGTGCCTTTCATGCACACCTCATTCAATTCTCACAGAAGTCCCACATGAGTTCCTTATTCAGAGTACAAGGAAACAGGCTCAGGAGAGCTAGGTGAGTGCCCAGGGTCACAGGGCCCGCAGGTGAGGCCACCAGGATAGACCCTGACTCGTCCGGCTCCAGATACTCTGGTCTTCTGACTGTGAGACTCTACTGCCTCCCTCGCCCGCGTGGAAGATCGTTTTTGTTGCTTCTTTATTTATTTTTAAGTAATCCCTACACCCAACGTGGGGCTCGAACTCACGACCCTGAGCTCAAGAGTCTCATGCTCTTCTGACTGAGCCAGCAGGGCACCCCTCCCGGCGTGGGAGATCTGGATTCCACTTCACTAGAATGCCATGCTAGCCTCCACCAGACATTTCAGAAACAAACCACAGTATGAGAAAAGCTCAATGTGACCTTGACACCATTTCTGAAAGCCAGCTGCAAGGGGCTGTCCCCCTCACAGCGGCCCAGGACTGTCAGGTGTGTATGCAGATAGTATTTCATCTGATCCTAAAACTGTTTTACTAAAGGACAAAAATGTGACTTTCACAGAGGGAGTATTTTGGTGATTGGCCAGGACCTTTCTCAGAGTAGTGATGAAGTCTGTGAACATGGCTGAAAGTGCTGGAAAAGTAAGGGTCACTGAAGTCGAGGTCCAGAAACTGGGTGTGGGATGGGTTTTCTTATAGATGCCAGAGTTCCCTAAGATGGTGGTGAATCTGGAAGAGGGAGAGCCCCTGGGGGGCATGGTCTTCAGTGAACGTGGAAGACCTTCAGGAGGTCAAGAGATGTGAGCGGCAGCAAGGAGCACGATTCAGTGACATGAGCCCCTGCGGAAAACTTCCAGCCTCAGAGCAAGGGAGACAGGGTTGGGGACGGCAAGAGGGATCTGCTCCCTGGCCCAGGACTTCTGTGATGTGGAAAAATGAGCGGCCCACACTTGAGAGCTTCGCAAGGAAGGGAAATGGAGGCACGCCTGGGTGGCTCAGTCGGTTGAGCGTCCAACTTCTGCTCAGGTCATCATCTCACGGTTCATGGGTTCGAGCCCCGCATTGGGTTCTGTGCTGACAGCTAGCTCAGAGCCTGGAGCCTGCTTCAGATTCTGTCTCCCTCTCTCTGGCCCCTCCCTGACTCGCTCACTCTCTCTCTCTCTAAAATAAACATTAAAAAAAATTTTTTTAAAGGGGGGGCACTTAAAGGTTAAAGGCCTGGGAGAATGTTAATCATGTCCAGAGGGCATAGGTGGGGAAGTAATATCAAGTATGAAGTTTCCTTTGTCCTGAATGGATGCTTCCTTCCAAGCAAAATAAGCCACAAATATGTGAGCAAGGTGACTTTACTGCATGTTGATATTCATTCTCAGCCCATCCAACAAGAGCCCTGTGACAGCCATTCTTGGCCAACATCGTGGCCAGTAGCATAGCAACCAGGGCCCAGACTCAAGACCCCGGCTTCTCCATCTAGAACATTTATTTCCTGGTGACTCAATCACTCCATCCCATCTTGTAAATTTCTGCCAGGCTCAGAGCCCATACCTTCCGCACTGTGGAGGGGTGGACGTCCATTTCTCAGGAGCAGTGGACTGCTTCCGGCAGATAGTCAAGGCCCAAGGGGTACTGGCGCTCTGGAGTGGACTGACAGCCAACTTGCTAAAGGTGAGAAGGGTGATCAGTCTCTTCCTCCCCACCTCTTCCAATTCTAGCCCATTCCCTTGCCGTTCCCCGACAGGTTGCATGGAGACAGCCTGTCTTATACTGATGGTAGCATAAGTCCCAGGTGTAGAGGCTGGCAGTCAGCCCTGAGAGAGGGGACCCTGTGTGGTGTTGGAGTGTCTGACGCCCCATCCAAGAGCAACTGAGCATTTCGTGTAGAGGTTCCTCACATGGGGGTTCACAGACTCCTAAGGGGAACCTAATCCCCTAGCCTAACATCGTTTGCAAAACTGCATATGTACGTGCCTGTGTGCATCTCTCTGGGGAGACGATCCCAAGCTTTCATCATAGTCCCAAAGTATTTCATGACCCTCCCCCCACCACCACCGAAAAACGCTAAGAACTCTGGACTAGCCAGTCAACTGCACGAGTTGACACTTAAAGGATTCCAGTCAAGACCAGCATATGTCGACAGACAGTGTCAGATTAATCCAGACCCATGCCATCGCTCTGCCCTCACCCACACTGTGCCAGCTTTCGCGTTGCCATCTTCCCTGATTCCAAAAAGAATTATGCTGTATCAACCACAGCCTTCGCGTCAGTTGACCCTGATGCAGGCTGACCGAAGATGCCTTGACTATTTTATGTTTGAGATTTTAACAGGGTTTTCGTTTCTTTCTAAACAGATAGTTCCGTATTTTGGAGTTATGTTTGGCACCTTTGAGTTCTGCAAGAGAATCTGTCTTTACCAAAATGGTTACATTGTGTCTCCTCTGAGCTATCAATTGACCCCAGGGGTGGATCAGAGTTTGAAGCCCCAGGAATTACGGGAATTTAAAAAGTTCTTCAAAACCAGACAGCTAAAGTCTAAGAAACCAACTCTTTAAAACTGAATGGAACAAGAAGTGCACTGACTGAAGGCGTGTTACAATCATAGAAAAGATGTGGCCTCGTAATTGTGTGTGTGTGGAGTGACAAGAGAATCCTCCTGTCTGCTGCTCTCAGAAACGAGAAGGTTGGGCCGTATACCACCTCTGAGCTTTGAACTGATGTCCTGGTGAACACCTGTGCCATAGGAGGTTTCCCAACATGACTGTTGCCTGGTGGCATTCCACCCGATTTTGTAACAAAGCGCCGCTGTAATGAAATGTGCAATGTGCATGTGCAACTTACATGACACCAAAGAAATGGCATCACCATGACCTCAAAGCAACATGTAGTTGAAGTGGCTGAGCAGAGAGATACCACATCACGAGCTCAGCTGCTGGGTCACAGCTTGCACTGACCTAGCTTTGCTCCATTTCACCCGAGACTTCCCCACACAGTTGTTCTGAAACTCCTAATCCTTGCTGACTCCTGAGTGTACACACTTTGGTGTAAATTATGCCTTAGCAGAAACTAAATTAAAACATTTAACATTTAAAAATTACCACTTTCATAGTAGAACCATCCTTCTTCATTTCAGTTTGAAGTATCTTGGGGCGCCTGGGTGGTTCAGTCGGTTGAACGTCCGACTTTGGCTCAAGTCATGACCTCACGGTTCACGAGTTCGAGCCCCACGTCCAGCACTGTGCTGACAGCTGGGAGCCTGGAGCCTGCTTTGGATTCTATGTCTCCTTCTCTCTCTGCCTCTCCCCTGCTCACGCTCTGTCTCTCTCTGTCTCTGTCTCTCTCTCTCTCTCTCAAAAATAAATAAAAATTTAAAATTTTTTTTAATTTGAAGTATGTCAAGCTTAGGAATTTCAGGAATCTCATTTCAAGAAGGCAGTTTTTACCATGACCACTTAATTATGTCCCAAAAGACCGTCTTCCAGTTGAAGTCATGTGCAGTTGAAGTGGCCTGAATTCTCCGCCTTTTTAACTGGCTTTAATTTGCAAGCCTACCCTGAAAATAAATTATTTAGTCAACCTACGTTATTCTCACCAGATGTCCCAGTTGCCTAGAAAGGATCAAATAGAACATTTGACACACATATCAAAAATATACATATAACTGAACAAAACCACACACACACACACACACACACACACACACACACACCAGCTTTTGGTATGTCAAAAGCATTTTGCCCTGTTAAATTTATTTTCCAAAGAAAAACGTTCGGTCATTTGTTACTAATGTGAGTTGTAGCACGGATGGAAGAGGGATAGCAGGTAATATGCACAGGAGACCTCCTCTGTAGCCCAGTCTGTTTGTCACAGCTTGGAGGGTGGCAAATCTTTACCCACAGTGAGTGGTCCTATTTATTATTCTTTATTTTCCTGGAAGTGAACAATTTTTTTTAACCTTGTAAAATCTGTGAAGAAAAATTTCTTTTTTTACTCGATCTAAAATCCTACCTCAGGTTATTTACATCACGTTACTATCCTCTGTGAATTCTTCCACGCATGGGTTTGAGCCCCGTGTCAGGCTCTGTGCTGACAGCTAGGAGCCTGGAACCTGCTTCGGGTTCTGTGTCTCCCTCTCTCTCTGTCCCTCCCTGGCTCATGCTCTCTCTCTCTCTCTCTCTCTCTCTCTCTCAAATATAAAGAAACATTAAAAAATAAATAAAATAAAATAAAACATGTACATCTCCTCTACTATGTCTAACTTTGATAGAATCAAAGATGGCATCTAGGTTTCTTGAGCAGCAGAAGGGACTATGGTGCAAACTGGATGTGAGCAAGACTGTTCCAGAAGCTGAAGTAGTAGTGATGGGAGACTAGAGCCAAGAAGATTATGCTGCCAAAGATGAGCACTGTTTTCTCCTCAGTCGCTGCAGGGCAAACCCTGGTGTGATGTTACAGTCCCCCGTGCGGCAAATGCACACCGGGTGGACACATGGAGAGTGCTTTTCCTGGGTACCTCTTAGACACTCGAATCCAGCTTAAGTGGTTGCTGATACTGTTGCCAGATTATAGGTGGGCTCCTTACTGGGCACTGAGAACTGGCTTACCACCTTGCTTAAGTAAGGGTGCAGTGATGTGTCCACTGAAACTCAAGAGTTGGTCAACTTAAGTTAGTATGTGTCCTCAGATATTTTTTAGTTTTTAATTTTTTTAATGTTTTATTTATTTCTGAGAGAGAGAGAAAGAGAGACAGAGAGAAAGAGAGACAGCGTGAGCACAGGAGGGTCCAAGAGAGAGGGAGACACAGAATCTGAAACAGGCTCCAAGCTCAGGGCTAGCTGCCAATGCGGGGCCCAAACCCACGAACCGCAAGATCATGACCTGAGCTGGAGTCGGACGCTCAACTGACTGAGCCACCCAGGTGCCCTGATTTTTTATTTTTAAATGTAAGCTTTTTTTTTTTTAATGTAAGCTCTATGCCCAACGTGGGGCTTGAACTCCCAAACCTGACACCAAGAATCACATGCTCTACTGACTAAGCCAGCCAGGCACCCCAGTGTTCTTTTCAGTATTAATAAAATCTAACAGATGTTGAATGCTCACTATGTACCAGACTGTTTATGCACACATTATCTTATTTAATTGTCCCTCTGGAACCTCGATATACAGGTACTATTATCCCTACCATTTTACACCAGAGGAAATTAAAGTTTGGAGAGGTTAAGCCACTTGCCCAAGGCCTGGCAGCATGTATTTGAAATCTGGTGTGTCTCCAGAGCCCACCCTCTTGACCACTGGGCTAAATTACCTCTCTCTTCCTATTTTGTCCCAGATTCTCAAATTCAGATGCTCAAACCCATTCACCTTTAAAGAGACAAAGAATGCATAAAATACACAGATGGATACATAAGAATAAGATACGTAGACTCTGAGAATTGGAAGAGTGGGGAACTCTTCCCAATCAACACAACCATGTCCTCTACTATGTTCCTAATAAGTGGCCATTATATATAAGTGACTCAAATATAAGTTGAGTGACCTCAACTCTTACCCTCTCCAGTGATGAGAGGTTCCCCGCATCATAAAGCAACCCATTTCACGTTTAAGTAGCTCATATTTTAGAAAGCTAGTTCTTGTTCAGTGAAAGTCTACCTTCATGATACCAGCTGGTGCTTATTCCATATAGAATGTCTACCCGTCTTCTACCTGACAGCCCTTCAACTGTGTACACAGTTCTTTTTCTTAAAAGTTTATGTACTTATTTAAGTAATCTCTACGCTCTATGTGAGGCTTGAACGCACGACCCCAAGATCAAGAGTTGCAGGCTCCTCGGACTGAGCCAGCCGGGCGCCCCCATGAACACAGTCAAGATGTCCCTCCTTCACCCAAAGCTCTTCCCCGGTATCTCTCATTCATTCAGCCATTTCTCAAATGACATGATTTACAGGAACTTTACTTTTCTGATGGCTTCTTTGACTATGTTCCAGTTTCTCAATTTCCTCTTACACATGGCATCCAGAAGTGAGCATAAAGCTCTATGGGCCAGCAGAGGCCTTGATCTGTTCACCACCCTCTTGGCCCAACTCAAGACTCATTAGCGCATTTTGGCATTGCCAACTCACAATCAACGAGGACCCCCCTCCCGAGTTCTTTATCATACATGCTACCGTGAAACTCTAACTCCTCATCCCTTTTTCTTTTAATGTTTATTTATTTTTGAGAGTGGAGAGCAGAAAGAGAGGGAGACAGAGAATCCCAAGCAGACTCCGTGCTGTCAGCGCAAGAACCCGATATGGGTCTCGCTAAGATCATAACCTGAGCCGAAACCAAGAGTCGGACGCTTAACCGACTGAGCCACCCAGGCGCCCGCTCTAACTCTTCATCCTTAAATGTCCTGCAATAACTACAACATTAGAACCCAACACTGTGGTCCATCCCATTTCATAAGCTGGGTTTATTCTGGACTTCAGCCCTCTGACTCAGTTCCTAGAGGTCTGTGACACTCTTTGGTCTTTGTCCTCGGAAGTCCAGCCCTCCTGTCATCTGTAAATGTACTTTTAAAATCTGAGCTCATCAGAGAATAATCTGTAAGGACATTTTACATTTATAAGTATCTCTCCCTTTGGAGTTTCTCAGTGGAATTTTTCTAAATTGTAGAGGTCTGAACTTTATCTTTGGAATCTTTTGTCCTCTTGAGCTATCTTTGTCTTTTGGTATCTCTCCAGGAGATCTATTTATCTCTTCTCCGAACCTTTTGAAGCCTACCCTCTACATACCCAGTACATATGCACACATTAGTTAACGTATGTGACCATGCCCAGCATTCTTTTGCTCAACAGACCCAGATGGCATTGGCATGGTCAGTTTCCCCAATATTCTTGTCACTTTCACTTTGCTAACCAGATCTTCCTTATTTATTGTCAGGATGAAGCCCAGTTTAGCAATCTACCTCACCGATTCTTGAGGCTTCTGAGAACTGTAATTAGCAACCAGAGAGTCAAGAATGTATGCAATGTGTTGCTATCAGAATCATGAGCCTTCCAGTAGGTATTCAGACGGTCTATGCCTCCGATCATCATCTCTTGCCGATGTGACGGTTTTATGAAGTATTATTCACAGCTGTTCTCTAACCAGGCAGTTCCTTGTATACTTCCACAACTACAATCACTTTCATTTCTCGCTGTCATTGCATTTTCACCCTCCAGCCAACAAATGACTGCTATGTTGTTGCTACATCGTTACTACTCTGCTGTCCTTCTACATAGTATCTCCCCCACTCAGGTTTCCCCTTCCTTTTCCAGATGTCAGTCAGAAGTCCTACACTACCAACTTTGAACAAGACCTATAAAACTGCGTTTTCTTGCTTATATTAACATTTTACATTCACTTTATGACCTATATTCTGGGTGTGTTGGTACATAGGTAACTGAGGCCTTAAGTATCATTTCTGACCTTCTTCCTAGTTTTTTTCTTGAGAGTTACTAGGTGCTGCCTTAGCATTAGTTCCTTTTTCTTAATTATACGTGTACTGTAAAGAGCTTCCAGAACACACGGTAGTTACTAACACAGAGCCCCCACTAATTTTTCACCGGAGGAATTAGGGGGTTTTGTTTTATTTTTATTTATTTATGATTTATTTTTGAGAGAGAGAGTGCAAGTGAGTGAGACGCAGAGACTGGGAAAGAGAGAATCCCATGAACTGCAGAGAGGGACGGGGAATGCAGAGCCCAGAGCGGGGCTCGAGCTCACCCAAAGCAGGGCTCAAACTCACGAACCCTGTGATCATGACCTGAGCTGAAGTAGGATGCTCAACCAACTAAGCCACCCAGGCGCCCCTGGTGTTTTGTCTTTTCGGTTTTTTTAATATAATGTATTTAGTCTTAAAGTTTATTTTGAGAGAGAGTGAAAGAGTGAGCACTCAGGGGAGGGGCAGAGAGAGAGCGGAGAGAGAATCCTAAGCAGGCTCTGCACTGTCATTGCAGAGCCCGATGCAGGACTCAAACTCAGGAACTGTAGGATCATGACCTGAGCTGAAATCAAGAGTCAGATGCTCAACCGACTGAGCCATGCTGGCACCCCCTCAATGTTATATTGAAATGCGTTCTAAAACCCACCTCCCTCTAAATAAAATGCTCCGGTAGATTTTTGTTTTAGCAGTTAATTCTCTCCCCGGGAAAAGGTAAGAAGAGTGGCTATCACTTTCAGAGAATGTACTTCATGCCCGAAATTCTACAAGGTCATTTCTGCGTCCAGCTGCATCACTGTTACAACCAACTAATGAGAACCAGAGCGGCTTTCTCATGAACACAGGTCAAAGATTTCACCCAGGATCAACAAAGCTGGATTCAAAACTGCTCTCCTTTGGGAGCGTTGGGGTGGCTCAGGCGGTTAAGCGTCGGATTCTTGATTTCAGCTCAGGTCCTGATCTCCCCGCTTTGTGGGATCAAGCTCAGAGTCTGGCTCTGCACTGACGGGGCGGGGCCTGCTTGGGATTCTCTCTCCCCCCCCTGCCCCTCCCCTACTCACACTTTCTCTCCGAAAATAAATAAACTTGAAAACAACAACCCCCCAAATAACTGCTCTTCTTTGAACACTCTCGCTGGGGTTCCTGGACTTACGAACTGCAAAGTAGACTTAAATGAAGGACCCACAATCCTGGAGGAACCCTAGAATTGGGCCCTTCTATAAACAGATCCAGAGAAGCTGGGAGAGAGCAAGATAGGAAAGTGAGGGACACCCCCCCCCCAGTTTCTTCAGTGTGCTGGGTGCTTGGGATCAGCAGCCGTTACAATTTACAACAATGACCATTTTTATAAACATTCTTGTTATTACTTAGACTTATGATATGTTGTTATACTCTCCTCTTCGGTTTGGAACCTGAGAGTGCACTCAAGCTAGCAAGTAGGTTTTTAAGGACTTGTCTGGCAAATACTTACCCAGCGTAGGGATTAAGGGACTCAGTAAGCACTTGTCCTTTGACATAATGGCTGTCAATCTAACTCCATTGATTCTTCTGAAAGCTTCTGGAGTTCAGCAATCTACTCAATCCAAGAGTGCTTTACTTTGCTTCCAAGGAGCCAAATGCCAACCTAGTTCACACAGCCTCTTAACCTTCCTTCTTTATTTGGCACCTGGCTAAAATAATTTCCCCGCCCCAGCCGAGTGAGTCCTTTGGAGTCTCCTCTGCCAATTCCCAGCAAGATCTTTGTTAAATCCGTTTTGCAAACCGGAGTCCGGGGCACGCTTGACAGTGTCCCAACTCTGCTCTTCCCCCACTTTCCTCTGGCTTCCCCGGGAAAGCTCCAGAGCAGTGTGCCAGGTCTAGGGTGAAAAGAATGAGGCACCTGCCGTAGCACAAAACGTAAGGGTAGCCGAGCAACTTGGCAATCAAGACAAATGGTTTTTTAATGCACGATTTTTAAAAAGTCAAAAGTCACGCAAAAACCTACGACGAACAAAGTGTCCAACTTTAAATATAAAGACAGGCTGTCCCCCTGCGCTGATATGACCCTGCCTCATCCGCCTTGTCCTGATCCCAACCCTGGGGCTCCAATTCCACTTTATTTACAAAAACGGGCGACCGGCCAACCGGCCGTAGTTTGCCCGTATTGGGTTTTTTTGTTTAACAGTGCACTGAATATTCTTTATCTTGATCACCGAGATTGTTTTCGGCGTCCCCTGAGACGCTGCGGAAGTTTCTATCCAGGCACACCGCGAGCTCGCGCGCCCTCCCCACCCGCGCGCTTCTCCCAAGGGCCCCGCGGCCCCCGCCCGGGTACCGCCTGGGGTCGCCTCCTTCCCGCCAGGGCAGGTGCGGCGAGCGCGCGGGCGGCGCGGCTCCGGGGGCGGCGCCGGGCCCGACTCCGCGGCCCCGCCCCCCGCGCCCCGAGCCACTCAGCCGCCCCGCGGGCCCGCGCGCCGGGGCTCGGAGCCCGCCCAGGCCCGCCCAGGCCCGCCCCCGACGCCCGCCGCCCGGGCGCCGGCTCGCCCTATATAAATCGGCCATCTGCTTCGCTCCGCCCCGCCGTCCCGGAGTCCCAGCCGGTTCCTACCGCAGTCCCGCAGTCGCCCTGCTCCTCTTTCCTTTCAAAATGACAGATGCCGCTGTGTCCTTCGCCAAGGACTTCCTGGCGGGTGGAGTGGCCGCGGCCATCTCCAAGACCGCGGTAGCGCCCATCGAGCGGGTCAAGCTGCTGCTGCAGGTAGGGCCGGGGGTTGGAGAGCCCGACCAGGAAGTGGGGGCGGGGGGGCGTCGCGTGGAAAGGCTTGCCCCAGGGGTGCGGGGGGCGGGGGGGCCAACGCTGTAGCCCGATCGGGGGAAGTGACCGCGTGCGGGCAGGAGTGGCCGCAGCGGCGGACCAACGGGCAAACTCGAGAGAGGTGCTTTAGTGACCTGAAGTTCAGCATCTAGGAAGGGGTCGGGGCGGAGGGAGGCGAAGGAGACCGGGCCCTGGCATTCCGGAGGCGGCGAGCTCGGAGGCGCATTCCGGGAGCGGCGGTCTCCCCGGGGCCTGGAGGTCAAGGGCGAAGCCTGGAAGCCGGTGCTGGACGGAGGAACGCCTGGCCATGGCGAGGGCCTCAAGGTCGCGCGGCAAGGAGATAACAGCCTTGCAGAGGCCACGCGGCAGGTCGAGGGGCCGCGCAGCCCGCGGACGCGCTCTCACCTCGCCGGGCCGGAAGCCGGCGCCGGGAAGCGCGTGTGACTACTGCGTCCGCCCCCGCGCAGCCGCCGGCGTGTCCCCGCCGCCTGCCTCCGCCGCCGCGCTCTCCCGCTCCGGCTCTAGAGGGCGCGCCCGGTCGGGCGTAGGGGTGGTGGCCCGCGGGTCACCTCTAGGAGAGGACTGGGGGCGGAGCGGGAGGGAAGCAGCCCCGGAGACTTGAGGTGGAGGCCACGGCCACCAAGGTGACCGCGCCCTACGTAGGACCGGCCCTAATGCCTCTGAACCTGGATCTGAGGTAGTGACCTTTCTCCCGGGTCTAAAGGTCACGGGTCCACCCGAGGGCGTCCCCTCCCCACCCAAATGGGTGGAGGCTTGGTGCATTCTAAGGGTGCCGAGCTCCCTTCTGCCGATGACAGCTTCCGAGGGTTAGAAGGGTCCAGCCCGTGTGATCCAGAAGACTAGATTCAGGAAGTAGCTACCCTTAAAGCCCCCTCGGTGGTCAGGAAGATGTGTTCGCTTCCTTTTTCCCGCCTCAGTGGTTGTAACTCTCCCCGTGGGCCTCCTCCTCTCCCTCAGGTGCAGCACGCCAGCAAGCAGATCACCGCCGATAAGCAGTACAAGGGCATCATCGACTGCGTGGTTCGGATCCCCAAGGAGCAGGGCGTCCTGTCCTTCTGGCGCGGTAACCTGGCCAATGTCATCAGATACTTCCCCACCCAGGCTCTCAACTTTGCCTTCAAAGATAAATATAAGCAGATCTTCCTGGGCGGCGTGGACAAGAGGACCCAGTTTTGGCGCTACTTCGCGGGAAACCTGGCGTCGGGTGGCGCCGCAGGGGCCACATCCTTGTGTTTTGTGTATCCTCTGGATTTTGCCCGGACCCGTCTGGCGGCCGATGTGGGCAAAGCCGGGGCTGAAAGGGAATTCCAAGGCCTTGGTGACTGCCTGGTTAAGATCTACAAATCCGATGGGATTAGGGGCCTGTACCAAGGCTTTAACGTGTCTGTGCAGGGCATTATCATCTACAGAGCTGCCTACTTCGGTATCTATGATACTGCCAAGGGTAAGTTCACCGTGTACTCTGAGGCTGTGTTCTCTTAATCTAAGATCAGGAGTGCCCATCCTAGTGTTCCAGAGCCCGGGACCTTCTGTGATTGCCAGAGGAAGCCATGGGCATCCAGAACACACTGTGTTCAGATGCAAGGTTGGGGGCGGGGAGGGGCGAGGAGTGCCCATCCTAGTGTTCCAGAGCCCGGGACCTTCTGTGATTGCCAGAGGAAGCCATGGGCATCCAGAACACACTGTGTTCAGATGCAAGGTTGGGGGCGGGGAGGGGCGAGGAGTGCCCATCCTAGTGTTCCAGAGCCCGGGACCTTCTGTGATTGCCAGAGGAAGCCATGGGCATCCAGAACACACTGTGTTCAGATGCAAGGTTGGGGGCGGGTGACGAAAACAACAAACCCCTAAAACTCTGCTTTCTGGTCAACATGTCTCCCTCCTGTTCTCAGGAATGCTTCCGGATCCCAAGAACACGCACATCTTCATCAGCTGGATGATCGCCCAGTCCGTCACAGCGGTCGCTGGGTTGACCTCCTATCCCTTTGACACTGTTCGTCGCCGAATGATGATGCAGTCGGGGCGCAAAGGAAGTAAGTTGCACTTGAGTGAAAGTGAAAGACACGGGCACAGGACAACCCGGGGCCACAAGCCAGTGACGCCTGACTTCAAAAATACAGGCTAGGGGCGCCCGGGGGGCTCAGTCAGTTGAGCATCTGACTTTGGGTTCCGGCTCGGGTCATGGTCCCAGGGTCGTGTGGGATGGAGCCCCAAGGCCAGCTCCATGCTAAACGTGGAACCTGCTTAAGATTCTCTCTAAAGGAAGAAATGCAGCCCGTTCTGGTCGAGGGATGGGGCTGATTGAGTCTGCCTTTGAGCGGGCCCTTTGGATGCCTATGAATGAAGGTGCTTATACGGTATTAGAGATTAAGACCTGTCGTTTTAGTCACAGCATGAATATTTCAGTATCGCCCATCCAAGTGTGTAAATCTTGAGTATTCTCTTCAAATGGGGCCTGCGAGTGGGGGAGGGACAGCGAGTCTGGAGCAGCTTGGAGCCCAAGGTGGGGCTCCCAACTCACACCCCAGGAGATCATGACCTGAGTACAAGGCTCAAGCGACCGAGCCACCCCAGGAGCCCCTGGTCTAGTCTTGTAAGTCTCAGGGTGGACTTTGATCACCAACTCCCTGTCTTTATTCTTTGCAGCTGACATCATGTACACGGGTACGCTTGACTGCTGGAGGAAGATTGCCCGAGATGAAGGAGCCAAAGCTTTTTTCAAGGGGGCGTGGTCCAACGTTCTCAGAGGCATGGGTGGTGCTTTTGTGCTTGTCTTGTATGATGAAATCAAGAAGTTCACATGAGTTACTTCCTAGTTCGTTCCCCCGTGAACAGGCATGTTGTATCATATAACGTATCTTGAGCATTCTTGACAGACTGTCGGCTATTGATCAATGGCCACTATTGACTGGTTGAAAATGGGAAGCAATAATATTCATCTGACCAGTTTTCTCTGAAAGCCATTTCCACGATGACGGGACTCAATTATATTTTTTATTTCAGTCACTCCTGATAACATTTGAAAAAATAAAAACGATCTGAAATCTATTCTTTGCTTGTGACATCTACTTTGGGACATGCTACAACTGAGCACAGTTTCCATGTTGAATGAAGGCTACGGTATCTCCTGAGATGAGGGGCTTTCTCTTCCAACCAGTCTCCAGCCGTTTACTTCTCAAAGAGTAGCTAGGTGGTGTGACGCGTCGAGTTTTCCCCAACTCGGTAGCAAAATGAAATCCAGGCACAGTGTATCAAAAAGCCACTGGTCCCTTGCCCGTGGGTGGTCGGAACTGAATGTGCTTTGTCCAAAAAGTACTAGGTACCCATCTTTCCTAGTCCTGTGGTTCTTCATCAAGGACTATAAACTTGATTTTTTAAAATCTTTTGAGAGAGTGTAAGGTCGGGGGGGATGGGCAGAGAGGGCGAGCAGATCCCAAGCAGGCTCCATGTGGGGCCCCATCTCCCGAACCCGTGGGATCATGCCCTGAGCCTAAATCAAGCCTGATACTAAACCAAAGGAGCAATCCAGGGACCCCTGAATCATTCCCTTTAAAACGGTTCTTAGGGGTGTCTGGATGGGCAGTCAATTAAGCACCCTACTCTTGATCTAGGCTCTGGTGGCGATCTCACAGTTCGAGAGTTCAAGCCCCCACATCAGCCTCTGCGCTGATGGTGCAGAGCTTGTTTGGGATTCTGCCTCTCCTCTCTAACCCTCCCCTGCTTGCTCGCTCTCTCTCTCTTTCTCTCTCTCTCTCTGGAAACAAACTTAAAAACCTTTTTAGGGGTGCCTGGGTGGCTCAGTCAGTTGGGCGTCTGACTTCAGCTCAGGTCATGATCTCACGGTTCATGGGCTCAAGCCCCGCATCAGGCTCTGTGCTGACAGCCAGCTCAGAGCCTGGAGCCTGTTTCAGATTCTGTGTCTCCCTCTCTCTCTGATCCTCCCCTGCTCATGCTATCTCTCTCTCAGAAATAAATGAAACATTGAAATTAAAAAAAAAAAAAAAAAAAACCTTTTTAATGGTTGTTTCTTGTTACATGAATTCAATCTCCTTGAAACAAAAAGATCCTAAACTAGAAGGTAATACTTCTAGACTTTCATCCAGTCGCCTTCCCACATCCATCTGGCCCAAGCCATCTCATTTTAATCCCATTCAAAGCAGAGGATTAGAGCCTGCGCAGTTTACACTGTGCGGGGATTGCTGGGCCCTTCAAGATTCTGGAGGGAGGGGCACCTGGGTGGCTCAGTCGGTTGAGCATCCGACTTCGGCTAAGGTCATGATCTCACAGTGGGTTCGAACCCTGCATCAGGCTCTATACTGACAGCTCAGAGCCTGGAGCCTGTCTCAGAGTCTGTATCTCCTCTCTCTCTGCCCCTCCCCAACTCACGCTCTGTCTTACTCTGTCTCTCAAAAATAAGTAAAATGTAAAAAAAAAAAAAATTTTTTTTAAAGATTCTGGAAGGAGCCAGACACCCGCCACGACCTCAAAATTCATTTCATTAAAAAAAAAAAAAAAAAAGGAAATGTAGCATCTGTCGCACTTTGTAAAACATGCTAATAATAAGCCCAGTCAACGGAGGACATGTACGTTTCTTTTGAATAATCCCTGATTTGGGATCCACATTAGAATATGTTTACAGTTTGTGCGGCTCTTGGCAAGGCCTCAGAAATCCAGTGGCTTTGGGGCACCTGGGCGACTCAGTCGGTTAAGTGTCCGACTTCGGCTCAGGTCATGATCTCACAGTTCGTGGGTTCAAGCCCTGTGTCGGGCTCTGTGCTGACAGCTCAGAGCCTGGAGCCTCCTTCAGATCCTGTGTCTCCCCCTCTTGCCGCCCCTCCCATGCTCATCCTCTGTCTCTCTCTGTCTCTCAATAATAAATAAAAATGTTTAAAAATTTTTTTAAAAAACCATCAAGTCCTAACCTTGAATATATACCATTTTTTAAAGTTTATTTTGAGAGAGAGCACAAGTAGGGGAGGGGCAGAGAGAGAGTCCCCAACAGGCTCCACACTGTCAGCACAGAGCCCAAGGCAGGGTGCTTTAGGTGCTTTAGGTGCTTTAGGTGCCCCTAAATATGTACCATTTTTATATGTTACAGTTATCTCAAAGTTTTCCAAAAAACCAAAACTCTGCTGTAGTGTCAGAGAAGCCTGGATTCTGCCTTTCGCATTTGCTGTCAGGGAAGTTAACTTGATTTCTCTAAAGTTTGGTTTTCTTCCTTTATAAAATAGGGATAATAACGACTGCCTCAGAAGGCCGTTGCAAAGCTTAAAGAATTTATGCGAAGCATCCACCATAGAACACACATAATAACCACTGCATAAATGGTAACTACGATAATTATTAGGAGGTGGTGAACGTTTCAGGGGCTCCAGAATTGGAAGTACTTGGACTTGAGGGGCTCAGTTGGCAGGGCATGTAACTTGATCTCTGGATCGCAAGTTCAATCCCCACTTTGGGCGTAGAGCTTGTTAAAATAACTAAATAAGCTAAATCATTTTTTTTATTTTTTTTAATGTTTTTATTTATTTCTAGGAGAGAGAGAGAGAGACAGTGTGAGCAGGGGAGGGTCAGAGAGAGAGGGAGTCACAGACTGAAACAGGCTCCAGGCTCTGAGCTGGCAGTCAGCACAGAGCCCGACGCGGGGCCCGAACCCACGAACCGCGAGATCACGACCTAAGCGAAAGTCGGACGCTTAACCGACTAAGCCACCCAGGTGCCCCTAGCTAAATCTTTTTAAAAAGTACTTAGATTTGAATCCTGGCTCTGCTGCTCTCTTAGATGTATGACCTCAGGCAAGTCACTTAATCTCCTGAGTCTCAGTTTCCTCATCCATAAAATGGGGATATAACAGTGCTACCCATATTTCTTAGGGGTGTTATGAGTGAGGATCAAGTAACATAGAGCATATATAACAAGTATAGCGCCCGGCATCTAGTAAGCACTCCAGTGTGAAGTTTTCATAATTAGGCTCCATTTTGTTGAACGAACACTTGCCCAAGCAGAGCACAACTTAAGAATGTATTCAATCAGGGGCTCCTGGGTGGGTTAGTCGGTTAAGCGTCCGACTTTCGCTTAGGTCGTGATCTCGTGGTTCGTGGGTTCGGGCCCCGCGTCGGGCTCTGTGCTGACTGCCAACTCGGAGCCTGGAGCCTGTTTCAGTCTGTGACTCCCTCTCTCTCTGACCCTCCCCTGCTCACGCTATCTCTCTCTCTCTCTCCTAGAAATAAATAAAAACATTAAAAAAATTAAAAAAAAAAAAAAGAATGTATTCAATCAGAGGCGCCTGGGTGACTCAGTCAGTTGAGCATCCGACTCTTGATTTCGGCTCAGGTCACGATCTCACAATTTTGTGAGTTCAAGCCCCGCAGCAAGCTCTGTGCTGACAGTGAGGAGCCTGCTTGGGATTCTCTCTCTCCCTCTCTGTCTGCACCTCCCCCACTCACGCCATCCCTCTCTCTCTCTCAAAAATAAATAAGTAAATATTAAACAAATTTTTTAAAGAATGAATTCAACCAACAGACACATGAAAAGATGCTCAACATCACTCGTCATCAGGGAAATGCAAATTAAAACCACACTGAGACACTACCTCACACCTGTTAGAATGGCTATTCTCAAAAAGTCAAGAGATACCAAGCGTCAGTGAGGACATGGAGAAAAGGGAATCCTCATGTACTGTTGGTGGGAATGTAAATTGGTACAGCCATTATGGAAAACAGTATGGAAGTTTCTCAAAAAATTAAAAAGGGAAATCCCATATGATCCAGTAAATCCACTGCTGGGAATTTACCCAAAGAAAATGAAAACCCCAATTCAAAAAGATATATTCATGCTATGTTTATTGCAGCATTATTTACAGTAGCCAGGATATGGAAGCAGCCTAAGTGCCTACTGATAGATGAGTGGATAAAGAAGATGTAGTATATACACATCAGGGAATGTTACTCATCCATAAAAAAAGAATGAGATTGTGCTGTTTGCAACAACATGGATGGACCCAAAGGGTGTTATGCCAATGAAATAAATCAGAGAAAGCCAAATACCATATGATTTCATTTATATGTCGAATCTAAAAAGCAAAACTAAAAAATGGGGCGCCTGGGTGGCTCAGTTGGTTAAGCGTCCAACTTCGGCTCAGGTCATCATCTCATGGCTTGTGAGTTCGAGCCCCGCGTCGGGCTTTGTGCTGACAGTTCAGAGTCTGGAGCCTGCTTCGGATTCTGTGTCTCCTTCTCTCTCTGCTCCTCCCCTGCTCACTCTCTCTCTGTGTGTCTCTCTCTCTGTCTCTCTCAAAAATAAATAAACATTAAAAATTAAAAAAACAAAAAGTAAAAAAACAAATGAGCCCACGAACACAACCATGCAAACGGAAACAGTCTGAAACATAGAGAACAAACTGGTGGTCAGCAGAGGGGAGTGTGGCAGACGGGATGGGCAAAACAGGCAAAAAGGATTAAGAGATACTAGCTTCCAGGTTATCAAATAAATAAGTCACAGGGATGAGATGTACAGCATAAGGAGGATAGTCAATAATACCATAATAACGTTGTGTGGTGACATTTAGGAGGCTACACTCACCATGGTGCACACTGCATAATATATAGAATTGTGGAATCACTTTGGTGTTCCCTTGAAATTAACATCATGTTATATGCCAGTTATACTTCAGTTTTATTTTACTTTTTAAAATGTTTACTTGGTGGGGAGAGGCAGAGACAGCACGGTAGCAGGGGGCACAGAGGACTCCAAGTGGGCTCTGCCCTGACACCAGAAAGCCCGATGCGGGGCTCGAGCTCACGAACCTCGAGATCATGACCTGTGCCAAAGTCAGACGCTTAACCGACTGAGCCACCCAGGCGCCCCTATACTTCAATTTTAAAAAAGAATGAATTCAGTTAAGCGTCCGACTTCCACTCAGGTCATGATCTCGCAGTTTGTGAGTTCAAACCCCGCGTCTGACTCTGTGCTGACAGCTCAGAGCCTGGAGCCTACTTCGGATTCTGTGTCTCCCTCTCTCTGCCCCTCGCCTGCTCACAGTCTCGCAC